GTGTCTGAATCCCACTGCTGCTGCCTGGGCTTTCTGGGCATTGCCCACTGCTCTCCCGTCCCCCCACCGGCCTCGCAGGGAGTCCCGGGGCCAGTGACCCGTCAGGTGTTCTTGAGTGTCCGTCCCTGGCTGGTTCCATCCACGGGCCCTAGGGTGAAACCAGTTTGGTTGGGGTCTAGCAAGCTGTGCACACAGCCAGGTCCATGTCCCCCTCCTTGTGCTGCTCTCAAGTCGCTGTGTGATTAGCCAGGCCAGCTGATTGCAGCACGCGCAGACCCACCATTTACACCCTTGCAGCCTGGGTGCTCCAGGGTTATAAAACACTCATGGGAGGATCCGGCCCCAGCGTGGGCTATTCCCAGGCTGGCTGGGGGCTCTGGCTGAGGCGTGGTGCACACAGAGGGTTTTACCAGCCCGCTAATTTTTGTGGAATTGATTCCCATTCCTTTCCTTTGGTGTCCTCTAGTCCTTCTTTATGGGAACTCAGGAAGAACTTTTCTGAATGCACCCTCTCCACCCAACCCCTGCTTTTAGAGACCTCTATCCTGTCCCCCCTCCGTCTCCTCTTTTCTAAGCTGAACAGTCCCAGTCTCTGTAGCCTCTCTTCATCTGGGACCTGTTCCCAACCCCTGATCATGTTAGTTGCCCTCCCCTCTCCCAGCCTTTCTCTTCCCCTCTCCCACCTCCTTTTCCCAGTCTCCCCCAGTTTTTTTCAATAAAGACAGAGTCAATGTTGGAAGAAACGTTATCTTTATTTTGTACATCAATAAGAAGGGGGGCTAGGGAAGGGTAAGTGGAAGGAGGTGAGGGAGGAATGGGGTACGAGCCCCCGATGGGGAGGACTGGGCTGGCTCTGCGGGCTTCTGGGGGTGGAAGCTCTCCTGCAGCCCCCCAATTACTCCCTCTCCCCAGATGGCAGCCTGCGGCAAGTGCAGCCGGGCTGATGGCCGAGTGGTGTGATGTGCCCAGTGTGGGCACTCAGGGCACTCCAAGCCAGAACTTCTTTGCAAGCGGGGCACCCCTTAGAACTGTGTGTCCGGGGTGGGGGTCGGGACCCTTTAAGCGCAGCCCTCGGCTAGCCTGAGACAGTATCTCCATGCTCTAAGTCCTCCTTTTATGCCCTGCCGGCACTGCTTCCGGCCATCCTTAAGCCCTGTTCAGAGTCCACTCAATGTGGACTTACTAGTTCGAACTAGCAAAACGCTAGTTCGAACTAGTTTTTAGTTCTAGATGCGTTAGTTCGAACTAGCTTAGTTCGAATTAACTAATTCGAACTAAGTTAGTTCGAACTAGCGCTGTAGTGTAGACGTACCCCCAGGGACCTGACCCGGACATGGGAACCAGGAAGATAAACTGACTGAGGGGGTGGAGGGAGGGGAAACTGACCAGCACGGTTTGGGGATCCGGTGTGCAGGGACTGACGGGGGACGGGGTCTGTCCGGACCACTCAGTTCTAGCCTGATTCGTAGCCCAGGGAGGAGAGGCGTGTTCTAATGCTGATCATTTGACAAGACCTATTTTAAGGCCTGGCACCCTCCCTGCCCGCCCCCTGCCAGCCATTCTCTGAGCTCAGGCGAGTTTCCTGAACAGGGAACACGGAGCCCCCCTGAGGGGGAACCTCTCCTCCCACGTACATCTAGACGGAGAGGCAAGGGACGGGAGCTCTGCTGTGGCCTGGTGCAAGTGCCCGGAGGCAAGGGGGCCGGCTGTGTGTGTGTGTGTGTGTGTGTGTGTGTGTGTGTGTGTGTGAATCTCCTGAAGGGAGGGGGAACATACACTCCCCACCCTGGGTCACAGCATGGACCCTTGGCCCATGATCCCAGCCTGGTGCTACCAGGGACACTTCTCCAGAGAGGTCCTGGGCACACCTGGCTTCCACACGTCTTGTAGTCCCGCCGAGGGCAGGGTGAGGGGCAGAGCGGGGTGGGCCTGCGAGCAATGGCAGTTTGAGCAAGCCGTGTCTGTCATGTTATAGGACACCGCCTCTGCCCTGATCTGCCAGCCCTCAGCACCAGGTGGGACAGCCTGAACCTCCCCTTTGCTCCGAGTGGGAGAACCTGGGTCCTGGCCCCATCCTGCTCTCTTTCTTTCCCCTCCCTCAGCACTTCTCCTCAGCCTCCCCCGTCTCTTAGCTTGCGTCCTAGCACCCCCCCAACGTCCCCTCCCAAGCCACTGTGACCACTGGGCACTGAACTCTGCCCACAGGGGCCCAGCCTGGGGCAGGTGGCTGGGTGCATGCCCATGCCCTGGGAGATGGCTACGGCGTGCTGCTCGGTGGTGACCCGAGCGGGGTGCTAGGCGCTGCCTGAGGCGTGGGCACTCAGCCGGCAGCATCGTGACCGAGCCAGTGAGTAAACATGTTGTTCTGCTGCCCGGTTCCTGGATCCGAGCAGGGAGAAGGGGGTGGGGAGAGGGAGCAGGCTGTGTCGCAGCTCCCCACAGGCTACAATTGCGAAAGCGCAGAGCCAAGCCAGCTTCCAGCTGTTCTCTGCGCCAGCCCAGGCTGGGAGCAGTCCGCCTTGAGAGGAAAGGTGTCGGCCCACCCCCACGCCAGTGCCGTTTGAACGGGATGCCGGTAAGAGGTGCCCGGTGGGGTGGTGCTGCCCAGGCCCTAAGCTGCTTGAGGCTGGTGGGGCTGAAGGAAATGGGGAGGCCCTGCCCAGCAGGCCTGCACACACATGACATGGGGCAGTGCACAGGCGTCCAGGCGTCCAGGGGGTGGGGTGGGGTGGGAGCACAGCGTGCAGGCCTGCAGGTGTTTGAGCGGGTGCCGGTGTGTCTGGAATGGGGGTGCCAGTGCAAGCTTGTCACTCAGTACAACAGAGTGTCCCTGAAGTGAGCTGGCTGGTTCTGTACTGGGTCTGTCACCGGCGTGTCAGCCTCTCCAAGCCCCCGGCTGGATCCAGCGCCTGGACTGGGCTTTCTCTGGGTTCCAAGCCCTGTCCCGTGCATGCAGCTCGGGGGGAGGGCTTATTAGCACAGCAGCGTTTACTCCCCTCGCAGGGGTGTAGCCGTTGTCCCCCCACTTCACTGGGCCCTGTCCCCGTGCCCCACATTGCACGGCACCATGGCCCCGTCCTTTGCCCCCATCCCGCGGGGCCATGTGGCCCATCCCCACCGGTTCAGAAAGAGCCTTGTTTTCACAGAAGGCGCTGTGCAACAAAGCCGGCGATTCATGGCTATTTATAGTGCAGGCAGCCATGCCCAAGCTGCCTGAATGGCCCATTCAGTGGGGTTTATACAAGCGCAGGGCCAGTTTCACTCTCCCCCTTCCCCAGGGACGAACTACATGTCCCAGGAGCCTCCTGCCCTGCTGGGGGGGGATAGGAGGGGGTGCCTGGCTGATTTCATGCATCATTAAGCAGATGTGGGGAGGGGCGGGGGTTCGTTCCTGGCTGGAACAGGCCACTGGGTTGGGTGGCTTGGCTACTTAAGGGTAGATAGCTCCAGCGTCCACTGGATGGTGGGAGAGAGGAGAAAGAGGGGAGGCACCAGGAGGCACCCTGTGGTCTGTCCTCCCCCAACGGGAATGAATGGTGGTTTCAGACCCCCCCCGTCACCTTCATACACCAAGCCCAAAGAGCGCGTGGCCAGACCATGCAATGCGGGGTGTGGGGAGAAGGGGGCTCTGGAAGCAGTAAGACCCCTGCCCTTAGGAGGCAGCACTGAGGAGCTGGCAGGGCTGGGCTCTCAGAGGAGCGGGGGCCAGGCCAGGTTAACTGCAACCTGAAAGCACTTGACGTACATTTGATCTGCCTTCGACCCCCTCGCCCTGCCCGCTGCTGCTGCTGTAGCAGGCTCTGAGATCACAAAACTCATGAGCCAAACAAACCAGGAGGGGGAGGGTAAAGCAAGGCACAGAGCAGGGATCCAGATAGCACTAGCAGTGGCCATTCCTAGCCCTGGGCCAGGCTCAGGCCAGTGGAATGTGGGCGTGAGGGGGGCGGCTCTGTAGGGAATCCATGGCATTTCAGATGGAGACCCTCCCCCCGGCCTGCACGCCTGGAATCTGACCTCTGAAGAGGCTGCGTTTCCGGCAGGCCAGCTGCTGCCTTTCTGGCTAATTGGTGCTGGTTGTGGGGCTGGGAAGCCGGGGAGCGGGTGGGGGAGCCAGTTAGGAAAGGACACGGTCCCTGCCTCCTCCCCATGGCCTCCGTGCAGAGCTGACACCGTCATAGGTCCAAACTGGCACTGGGGGCTGGGAAGTGGACCCTGGCACTGGCATGGGGCTTGCTGTGCCCAGAGACCAGCCCGGGGAGGACGCTATGGAGACCCAGTGTCCCCACCAGGTGGATGCCTGGGGCCCTCTCACTCTCTCCTGTAAAGGCTCATCAAGAGAGGCTGCAGGGTCACAGAGCAGAAGGGCTGACCTAGCACACGAGAGCTTGTTTCTCTCCCTGGCTCTGCCACTGCTCTGTTGGGTGACCCTGGGCTGTGGCTGCTGCCCTGCAGTGCCTGATGGGTTCTGGGGGTACAGGGGTGGCAGTGGGCATGCTCAGAGCTGCAGGGGCTCAGTGGAGTTACAGCAGCTGGCGTGGTTTGGCGGCTGTTCTACCTGCACTGTACCTGCCAGGGCTGCACCAGTGACCATCTTGCAAGGTGCCACAAGCGCTGATGCCAACAGCAGTGCCCTTAGTGTCACGTGGGGCTAGTGGCTAGTGGCTGCTGTCCACAGCATGGACCTGTGGCTGATATTCGTGGGCTTGGGTCTGGCTGGGACAGATGCAGCGCCGTGTCCACGTGGGATACGTGGGGTGCCATATTCATGGGCACAATATGGCTTTCTAGTCACTATTGCTATAGGTGACACTGTAGCCACAGTGCTGTACCTGGCTTTCTCCCAAGGTGCTACTCATGGCTCTGTAGCTGGGAACTATGCATGGCTCCAAACCCAGGGCTCCATGCGCAGCCGTGGCTCTGTACCCATGGGCTCTGTTCACACTGCTTTCCCCACTCTTTAGTGTCCTCTGCATTGAACTACCCTGTGTTTGCCTCTGTAGCCAGAGAAGGTGCCAGAGCTGCACAGCTTCAAGGAGAAGGGCTTTAAGAAGAAGAAGCGAGCGTGTGTGGTGTGCAAGGAATCCATCACGGCACTGGGCCTCGTCTGCCAAGGTACCAGCCCTCACCGGCACTGCCAGCCTCAAACCTGGGGTGGGTGGTGAGAGAGATGCCACCCGTTTGATCTGAACCTGGCAGCCTGCTGCACCAGCAGCACCATACCCAGCCTCTAGTGTCATGGTTCACATTCCCAGTCCCCGAGCATGCCAGGAGCCAGGCCCTCGGGCACTAGTGCCAGGGTTCACACTCCCAGCCCTCAGGCACACCAGGAGCCAGGCCCCAGTGCACTAGTGCCAGGGTTCACACTCCCAGCCCTCAGGCACACCAGGAGCCAGGCCCCAGTGCACTAGTATCAGGGTTCACACTCCCAGCCCTTGGTTGGCCAGGAGCCAGGCCTGGGATACACCCATTCACAGCACACCGTGCACCTTTTCATGCCTCCTTTCCTCTTCCACGCAGTCTGCAAGATCGCCAGTCACAAGACGTGCGAAGCGAAGGTAAGAGAAGGGATGGTGCCAGGTGGGGGTGGAGAGTATGGCTGGAGGCCAGCCCTCTGGTCCCTGCCTGGCCATGGGTGATGGGCAAGTCCAGCTGATGGATGCCTGGCTTGATTTAGTTGGGATTGGTCCTGCCTTGGGCAGGGGGCTGGACTTGATGACCTCTTGAGGTCTCTTCCAGCTCTATGGTTCTATGATTCTATGCCCAGTGCAGCAGGCAGGGGCCCAACTTGTCCTGGGTCAGAGACCCCAGCTGCCCTGCGAGGCCCAGCAGGCACATGGCTTGGTGTACTCCCATCCTACTAGCTCCAAGGCTGCAGCCAGAGGAGATGCTTGCCAGCCCCAGGACGTGCCCATCAGCAGCTCTCAGGCATGGGGAGGATGGCTCATCCCCCGGGGCAGGAGGGGTATGGGCAGGAATGTGCTCCTGGCTGCAGAGAGATGCCTGCTCCCCCCTGGCCCCGCCATGGGGCTGTTGCCTGGCTGCAGGAACTGGGCTTTGCAGCCCCATGGCTGCTATGTGGTTGGGGGAAGGAAGGAGGAAATGCAGCACTGGGAGTCCAGAGTCTTGCCCTGTTTACTGGGGGATTTGGGCCCTTACCTCTGTCTGGGCCAGCACTGGGTGGGCTCAGCAAGATATGAGCAGAAGAGGGAATCTCTGAGGAGCAGCAGGAGCAGGAGGCTAGGGGAGGACAGTGGTGGGGGGAGCAGCATGCCCTAGAAAACCCTCTCTGGGCTCTGGAATGAGGATGTGGAGTCCTTTCCTCTCAGAGAGATGGACTGCAGCTGATAACACCAGAGCCGGTTTCTGGGGCTTTGTGTGCTGGGAGACCTCAGATTTACTGAAGTTCTGGCAGGGCACTGGTGTGGGTAAGTTCACAGCACTTGGGTCCCGACAGGGCACTGCTGTGGGGAAGCTCACAACCCTGGAGCACTGCTCCCTGCAAGTGTGTCAACCTGCAATGCTGCCTGAGTCTGTACTGCCCGACACATCTGACGTGGGACCTGGTGCCAGGAACTGTTCCTTGTGGCTCTGCACAGGCTGGGCTTCTTTGAGCCTTCTCTGACAGATGCAGGTGGCCCCATGCTGAACCCCGCAGCTGCGTGCAGCCCCTTGGAGCCAGGCTGGCCCCCCCAAAGTTGGAGTCTCTGGCCCTTTAAGCCCTGGAGAGCCGTTGTGTAATTGTGGCTGCGCACAGAGCTGGGAGTTAGTCTTGGCCCCGGGCCAGCGGCTGCAGCTGGCAGTGGCTGGTTCTCCTCTGGGATTTTCTGGGGCTCTTAGCTTGGTGCAGACCGGTCTGTCCAACCAAGGGGCGGAGGCTGCGCTGGGGCCCAGGCTGGGAGCGGGATGAGGGAAAGTCAGGAGGCAAAGGGAGAAGTGTCTGCGCGAGGGAGGGGAAGAGAGACGAAACGGAGAAGATTCGGCGCTGCAGGGGGTGTTGGGGCCTCCCCCATGTGGGGAGCAGTTGGATGGAGAAGCCCAGCAGCCTAAAGACAAGTACCACCCTGCCCTGCTAACCCCCAGGTAAAACACATAGCTCTGGCCTACAGCTACGGTGCTGGCAGCGGAAGGGAGCTGCAGGTGAGGCAGGGACAGGACCAGATGCACCTCTGATCTGCCCTCTGTGCCCCTCCACCAGGGGCAGCCTGTGGCAGAGAAGAGCTCAGGGGACTCCAAGGCTTGGAGGGATGCTCAGAGTTGGGAGGGGGTGAGTTGTGAAGGTAGCATGGGGTGAGGGGCAAAGGAGATGGAGGAAGCAGGAGAAGCAGGAAGGGGAAGGCGAGGAGGGAAGAAATGGAAGAGGGAGCAGGAAGGGGAAGGCGAGGAGGGAAGAAATGGAAGAGGGAGCAGGAAGGGGAAGGCGAGGAGGGAAGAAATGGAAGAGGGAGCAGGAAGGGGAAGGCGAGGAGGGAAGAAATGGAAGAGGGAGCAGGAAGGGGAAGGCGAGGAGGGAAGAAATGGAAGAGGGAGCAGGAAGGGGAAGGCGAGGAGGGAAGAAATGGAAGAGGGAGCAGGAAGGGGAAGGCGAGGAGGGAAGAAATGGAAGAGGGAGCAGGAAGGGGAAGGCGAGGAGGGAAGAAATGGAAGAGGGAGCAGGAAGGGGAAGGCGAGGAGGGAAGAAATGGAAGAGGGAGCAGGAAGGGGAAGGCGAGGAGGGAAGAAATGGAAGAGGGAGCAGGAAGGGGAAGGCGAGGAGGGAAGAAATGGAAGAGGGAGCAGGAAGGGGAAGGCGAGGAGGGAAGAAATGGAAGAGGGAGCAGGAAGGGGAAGGCGAGGAGGGAAGAAATGGAAGAGGGAGCAGGAAGGGGAAGGCGAGGAGGGAAGAAATGGAAGAGGGAGCAGGAAGGGGAAGGCGAGGAGGGAAGAAATGGAAGAGGGAGCAGGAAGGGGAAGGCGAGGAGGGAAGAAATGGAAGAGGGAGCAGGAAGGGGAAGGCGAGGAGGGAAGAAATGGAAGAGGGAGCAGGAAGGGGAAGGCGAGGAGGGAAGAAATGGAAGAGGGAGCAGGAAGGGGAAGGCGAGGAGGGAAGAAATGGAAGAGGGAGCAGGAAGGGGAAGGCGAGGAGGGAAGAAATGGAAGAGGGAGCAGGAAGGGGAAGGCGAGGAGGGAAGAAATGGAAGAGGGAGCAGGAAGGGGAAGGCGAGGAGGGAAGAAATGGAAGAGGGAGCAGGAAGGGGAAGGCGAGGAGGGAAGAAATGGAAGAGGGAGCAGGAAGGGGAAGGCGAGGAGGGAAGAAATGGAAGAGGGAGCAGGAAGGGGAAGGCGAGGAGGGAAGAAATGGAAGAGGGAGCAGGAAGGGGAAGGCGAGGAGGGAAGAAATGGAAGAGGGAGCAGGAAGGGGAAGGCGAGGAGGGAAGAAATGGAGGAGGAAGCGGGAGGAGCAGGAAGGGGAAGGCGAGGAGGGAAGAAATGGAGCAGGAAGGGGAAGGCGAGGAGGGAAGAAATGGAGCAGGAAGGGGAAGGCGAGGAGGGAAGAAATGGAGCAGGAAGGGGAAGGCGAGGAGGGAAGAAATGGAGCAGGAAGGGGAAGGCGAGGAGGGAAGAAATGGAGCAGGAAGGGGAAGGCGAGGAGGGAAGAAATGGAAGAGGGAGCAGGAAGGGGAAGGTGAGGAGGGAAGAAATGGAGGAGGAAAGGGAAGGCGAGGAGGGAAGAAATGGAGCAGGAAGGGGAAGGCGAGGAGGGAAGAAATGGAGGAGGAAGGAGAGAAGACAGATGAAAGAAGCCGTAAATGTGAAGGTCAAAGGAGGAGCAGGAGCCTGGCTGCAGTGCCTAGCACTAGCGATGGCACTGCCCTAGCTCTCAGCAAGCCAGTCCCTTTGTTCTGCTCTAGGGGTACCAATTAAGGGCATTTATCAGCTGGCAGGAGGTGCCCGAGTGCCCAGAGCCTGCTGCTGGGAAGGGAGGACAAGGCCAGGCACCATGGCCAAGCAGGTATCCTGCCCAGCGGCTCCTCTCCAGATGCCAGGGCCCTTTCCCAGTGATGCTACGTTGAGATGAAACCTTGCAAGAGGAGGGTTCAGAGAATGAAGCATCCTGGCTTGGAGAGGCAGTGGGATCTAGTGGGTAGATGAAGGGGGCCCAGGACCAGGACTCCTCAGTCCTATCCCGGGCTCTGGGAGAGAGTGTGCACAAAGTGTGGGAGAAGGGGGTGGTTGGGGAGCCAGGACTCCTGAGTTGTGTCACTAGCTCTGCTACCAACACACAGTGACTGTGTGCTCTGTGCCTCAGTTTCCCCACCTACCAGTTTATTTTTGGGGGTAGGGAGGTGAAGTGCAATGGTTGGCAAAGGCCACAGTGAAACAGTCAACAGAAAACAGTGGCCCCACGCGGGGTTGGGGAGGGGACTTTGTCCATGTGCCCCCCATCCTGTCACATCCATTTGCCTCTCTCAGGGTTTCTGGTTACAGTGCTTTTCCCACAGCTCAGCCCCCTCTCCACCCAGCCAGATGTTTTTCCAGGCCAAAGCTGAGAGCGGGGGGTGGGACAGGAAGTTTGTGCGGCACACTTTGCTCTGTTGCCTCTCTCAGGGTTTCTGGTTACAGTGCTTTTCCCACAGCTCAGCCCCCTCTCCACCCAGCCAGATGTTTTTCCAGGCCAAAGCTGAGAGCGGGGGGTGGGACAGGAAGTTTGTGCGGCACACTTTGCTCTGGATGGCAAATGCTGCTCAGACAGATGTGGGCTGGGAGGGGAGGAGACAGGGCGGGGGGGCGATGGCTGCAGAAGAGACAAGAGGCAGCCAGAGAGGCGGCC